ACTCTCCTTGGAAAGAGAATGTGTGTGTGGCATGCAGGCACAAAACACGCACGCACCTGCCAGTGCCTGCAGCCAAGTGTCTCCTCTAGAGTATAAACAGCAGGTAAGAAGAAGCCCTCTTAAAGCATGTGCCAGGAAGGGGAGCCTGGGTGGGAAGCCCCCCCCCCCCCCCCCCCCCCCCCCCCAATAATGAACCAATAGAAAACGGACCTTTTAGCACCGCAGAATAAAAATAGATATCTGCCCTCCCGGTTTCGGAAGGCTCCCAAAAAACAGATTGGGGTCCCCACTGAAAAGTCATGGCATGAAACAGGTCAAGCTTTACCCCGAATGCACAACCCTAATCTGCATTTCTTCTGTTCTAAGATTTGCCACGTCCACTAGCATTCTGGGGTCTTCTGTGAAAGCTTTCTTAAGCAGAACTACAACAGACATCTTGAAGACTTGTTGGAATTTCTCTCCAACAAAGAGATAGAGAACAGGAGTGAAACAGATATTCAGGCAGATCCCAATGTGAAAAGTTATCCGCAGATGTTCTTGAGTCTCTTCTAGTGGTGTCAGACGGAAACACATATAGAGGTAGAAGGGAAGCCTGAAGATGAAGAAAGATGCCACAGCAACCCCGAGCACCTTGAAGGGCTTCCCTGTCCTCGCCAACCTTTTCTTCTTCATTTCCCAACCCACTGAACAATAGCAGAACATGATGATAAAGAAAGGAAGCCAGAAGTTCAGTGAGAACCGAATCACAATGAAAACCAGTTCCATTTTCTTTCCATCCCACTTTTCATAGACTGTATAATTAATTTTGCATGTGCTCCGATCTTTGTCTGCCTCTTGAGTCTCAGAGAAAGCCAAGTAAGGGGCACTTATACACACAGAAAGAAGCCAGAGCCCTGTGATCAGTTTCCATGCCCGAGGTATTGTACGATTGTGTTGGGACCAGACAGGATGGCAGATGAGAAGGTAGCGGTCCAGGCTGATGGTGGTGAGTAGGAAGACTGTAGAGACCATCCCCAGAGTAAGAAAGAAGAAAACAAGCTTGCACACGACATCCTTAAAGACCCAATGGAGATTGAGGACATTGTAGATGCCAAAGAATGGCAGAGTGCAACAGGCAATCAAATAGGAGAGAGTCAGATGGAGGAACCAGAGTGTGTTCAGAGTTCTCGTCATCTTCCTCCACAGCAACCAGAAAATGGTCCCATTCATACCCATCCCCAACAGAAAAGATACTAAGACAAAGGAGCCAAGGGCTATGTTAATGGAAGCTTCTGAGTTGTAGCTGGTGTTCATTTCCTTGACTGAGATATATTTCATGGGTTTTGTCTTGTCCATTTGTCCACAAGGGCCTGCAAGAGGGCCAGAATCTGCCAAAAAGAAAGATGTGTGAGTAAGAAGAGAAAAGAACAAATCAATTGAGAATTGTTGGGTAGTTGTGACAATGGGGAAAGCAAAGGATTCTTGGAACAGAAGAAAACCATACCATATAAACGATTTGAAAACAAGTACCATATATACTTGAAGATAAACCAAGTTTTTAAGACCTTTTATGGACTGAAATAGCCTCCTTCAGCTTATAATGGGACCAAGCTGGATGGCGGAGTCTGGAGCCTATTCCTTGCAATATATGATATATTTCTCCCTCATTTTCCCCTCCCTAAATAGTGTGTTTCGTTTTCTTTTCCAAATTCTTCTTTGCAAGGGAGAGAAGCCCGTGCAAGTCAGGAATAGCCATTAATTTTATAAAAGCATTTCCCCTTGAAATATTTGTTAATCTCTCATACAGATATATAGGCATTTTCCCTTGCAAGCCTTTGCAATTCCTATGCTACCTATATATCTGTGTTTATCTATATTCATTAATTTTATATATGATTTTCACTCATATGTTTGCAGATCTTTGCAATAGATATCTATTGATTTCCATGTACCTATATATCTGTATACATTATTTTTATATATGAATTTTCCCTTCACATGTTTGAAAGTCTCTGCAAATCCTATATAAACATGGATAAATATATAGAGGCACCTATATATCTGTATATCTGTCTGTCTCTCTGTGTGTGTGTGTGTATCATTTTATATGTGAATTTTCCCCTCACATGTTTGCAAGTCTTTGCAAATTCTATATTGATATAATTATCTATATATTGAGAGACGTCTAGATAGATATATGTGAGTATAGATATATAGGGCTTGCAGATATCACTGGGGGAAAATGCACACACAAATATATATAAACATATCTAGATAGATATGAATATAGATATATAGGGCATGCAAATATTGCAGCGGAAATACACACACAGAGATGTCTAGATAGATATAAACATAGATATATAGGGCTTGCAAATATTGCAAGAGGGAAATGCACATATGGAGAGAGGGGATTTGCAAGTGTTTCAGGGGGAAAGCATATGTGAAATTAGCATATATAATTATAGATCTATATCTAGCTCTGCATTGTTTATATAGGCATTTGTTTGCCTGTTACTGTGTTGGAAGCCATCCTGAGTCCCCATGGGGAGATAGGGCAGGATACAAATGATTTTTTTATTGTTGTTGTTGTTATGCTATTGTTGATACCATGTTGTTTTTGTTGATCCTACTTTTCCATTTACAGAGGTAGTTGATTGTTTTTCTTTGAAATACGGTAAATATTTAGAAACATTTAACCTACTGAAGTCTCAATTACTGTAATTTTATTTGTATCTATTTTTATTTTGAAATCTACCAGTAGCTTCTGCATTTCCCACCCTTGGCTTATCCTTGAGTCAATAAGTTTTCCCGGTTTTTTTGTTGTAAAATTAGCTACCTCGGCTTATATTCGGGTTGGCTTATACTCGAGTATATGTGGTAAGCAAAATTATGGCAGTTATAAAATACTATCCTTCCAATTCTCTCTCATGATCATCAAGGTTGACATGGACTGATAGGAATTGTAGTCCAAGTACATCTGAAGCACCCCTGCACTTTACCACTGTTCCCTGGCCAATAAATATAGTGTTCTAAGCGCATTACCTTTCTAGCCCTAACTATCATCTGGCTCCTGCATTTTTTCTATCTGCCTTGTCCTCGCAACAACAACTTTATAGCATGGGTTTGTCATTTGGGAGTTGTAGTTGCTGGAATTTATAGTTAACCTGCCATCAAAGAGAATTATGAACTCCACCAATAAGGGAATTGAACCAAATTTGCACACAGAACTCCCATGACCAACAGAAAATACTGGAAGGGTTTGGTGGGCATTGACATTGAATTTTAGAGTTGTAGTTCACCTACATCCATAGAGCACTGTGGACTCAAACAATGATGGATCTGGACCAAACTTGGCACAAATACTCAATATGACCCAAATGTGAACACTGGTGGAGTTTGGGGAAAATAGGCTTGACATTTGGGAGTTGTAGTTGCTGGAATGTATAGTTCACCTACAATTAAAGAGCATTCTGAATTCCACCAATGATAGAATTGGGCCAAACTTCCCACACATAGAACCCCCATGACCAACAGAAAACACTGTGTTTTCTGATGATCTTTGGCAACTCCTCTGATCCCCCTTGTGACCCCCGGCATGGCCAGGCCCGTAGCCAGGATTTCGTTTCAGGTGGGGGGGCTGAATTTTTTTCAGGGGGGGTTCGGGGGGGCTGAGTTTCGGGAGGGGGGGCTGAGTCTGAGTGAAAGAGGGTCTAGCCTAGCAAACCTTTTGTATCATTACCCCAATACCCCCATGCATATGGGATATATTGAGCATGGTGATCAGATCATGATATGAATAAACATAACAGTTTAAATAATGTACCAGTAAGACCTTCTCGCGGACCACCATGAGAATTTGGGGGGGTAGTAAGCCCTTTAACCCCCCCCCCCCCCCCCCCCACATTTAATTTTGGGCTGGGAGTTCACTCTTTCAGTCAGTTTCCAAGCCAAGATACATATATGTTTCGCAATCAGTTTGGATGTCCACAAATACATCAGAAGGACAAGCGTCAACTGCTGTTTCTTTATTTTTGTTAACTATTTTATGTATGTATAGTCTCATCATCTTAAAGGTTGTCACATGTAATATGTCATATTCCATGCTGTAATTCTGATGCCACAATCCCATCTTTTCCTTTCTGAAGTTCTTACTTTCTAGAGCTAGGACAGGAAACTAAGGGCCCTTCCAGATATGCCCTATATCCCAGGATCTGACCCCAGATTTTCTGCTTTAAAGTGGATTATATATGTCCACACTGCCAGATAATCTGGGATAAACAGAAAACCTGGGATCACATCTTGGGATTTAGGGCCTGTCTGGAAGGGCCCTAAGAGAAATGAATGGCTTTCCCAACATATCCCTTCTTCTATTATCCCCTAATATATCAACTTACTTGACGATTTGGATCTGTTGGTCTTTAAATGGTTGCCATCAGAACTTCCAGGGCTGAAGAGACTAAGAACCGAGAGCACAGGGTATTTCAGCAAGAAATGAACAAATAGTGTCTATCTCGTGACAATTATTCTTCTGAACAGCTTATCTAATATCTAAAAACATCAGTTTCTTAAACTCATTTCCTAAAAGCAGTCTTTCAGAGAATGGTTGCATAACGTGTACTTCCTGAGGACTTGTAAAGCTTGTGTCCCTTGTGAATTTTAAATTTATATTCTATTGGTATCATGTTTTAATCTTTGTACTATATAATTTGGTAGCTGTGTTTTTCCCTGCCTTGAGCTAAACAGTATAATTTCTCCAGTGGTGAAGTGTGTAGACATCCTGGTATAATGTGACATGTCTCATTAAGAGCCTTCTCTTGGGTATCAGCTTCCTCCCAGTAGACTCAAATCAAGGAAAAGCTTCATGAGAACTACCACTCCTCTTAACGCTCCCCCAGCAACATCAAAAGTATCCCTCTGGACAGTTAAACCAGGAAATTCCAACTAGATACCACCCCCCACCCCCCCACCAAGGGTATGCCTCCAGGAGCAAACCAAGAATAGGCCACTTGGAAGTCTCTGAAATGACTCAGAAGTGGAGTTGGCAGATGAAAAGACAACCTAGCTAAACCTAGAAGTGGTTCTCAACCTTTCTAATGCCGCAACCCCTTAATACAGTTCCTCATATGGTGGTGACCCCCAACCATAACATTATTTTCTTTACTACTTCATAACTGTAATTTTGCTACTGTTATGAATCATAATGTAAATATCTGATATGCCAGATGTATTTTCATTCACTGGACCAAATGCCCAAATTGCCCAAATTTGAATACTGGTGGTGTTCTAAGGCTCACCTTTATTGGCTAAATTACCTTACCAAAATTGGGGTGCACATTAGATTCGTATCATACAGTAATCTTAGTGCTGAGCTAAAGCAAAAGAGGAAGGTGCTTCAGGAGGTGCACCTGGAGCTCCTCTTTCAGGGACTAATCTATAATTAAATAACACTGTTCTACAAATTTTCAGTTTTTCTCAGTTACGGAAACGAAATGTGCCGTTTCTTAATAAATTTAACATGCTGAATTCAAATATAATAATTAAATGTGTTAATTGGCTCTGGTTTTTATGCAACAGCTATTTCAATTTTCTCCACAATAGGTAATTCGTTAATATTATGATAATGCGCCTAACCTTACTGCATGTATATAAACCGTGAATATTTACTAAATTTTAGTCAAATTATATTGCCAATAGTTTATACATGAGAAATATTTATTTAATTAGTCTATTGTTTATGTTTGTGCAGCAAGAAACTATATTAGTAGGCCTAATGCAGTTGAAAAGTCTGAAAGTTTAAATGTCGCTTTAATCGTGACTTTAGTTTCTATCCTGTTTGCTTCTCTTGACTTTTCTTTTGTATTCAAGGGAAGGATTCCCTCTTGCAATGCTCCAGCAGGAGTCTGACAGCACTGACGGAGTCCATTGGCCTGATATCTTTTTTCCATAGTGCTTTATTTACACACGTGCGAGGCATAACTACAGTAAAAAGAACAATGTAAGACGATGTTTAATGATACTGTCTCAGTCTTCAACTGACTGACCCTCACAGTTCAAAAGTCTGGCTTTATATAGGGCTTTCTGGCTTTTGCACACGGCACTAATACTGCGTCATCAAACTTTCTAGAGTATTCTAGAATCTTCCATATGTAAGTCGCAACATGCATTTTTTCAACCATACGTGATCACGTGATTGCTTATATCATAAAAACTAGAGCCAATATACATTTTTAAATGTCATTTTCGTTTTCAGCACCCCAAAATCATAAAAGAACAACTATTTTCAGGCCCGAAACTTTTTCTCCGTTGAACAGTGTAATAGCTCTCCAGGAAGCAGCTGTTGACTATCTTAGGAAAATGAAAACATAATGGTGCTTTTTGTTCA